TGTAGTTAAAATGTTTCTTGATGTTACTTGCTTACTGGGTTATATAACGTTCACAAAGAACAAGAAAATAATTATTACCTCCAACCTAAAATAGAAATTGTCAAATTAAATGATTTCACGCTCGTATAGTAGAATGCCTTTTCTTCATAATCGATAAGCTGTACAAACCGAACAATAAGTCTGACGACAATTGTAATCTTTTTTCTGCACGGTCTCGACAATATATGTCCTTTTTAAAATTAATATGAAATAATATTAGTATAAAATTCTTGATAGAAATAAATAAAAAATTACGAGATTTTATGTCCAAATTTAATCTACTTTTACTTAATTATACTTGAATTATAAAATTTTGATACGACTGAATTTAATATTACATAACATAACAAGTTTAATATCCTGATATCGTATATGCTAATATTACGTAATAAAGATAATATATTTTATATAAAAAATAATACGTTTTAAGGGGGAATATACACCTAGAAAAGAAAAAAGGGCGACTACGACGCCGACAACAAAATTTAGAAGATATGGGCGTACCGTCCACTTCGGAAAACTTATATTATGGACCTGGTATCGATGACTCTGTGTAAGTTGAACAAATTTCATAGTTTATATATAAAAACATTTGCAAACGCGTTTTTCTCAATCCAACGTTTTTTAAACTGGTACCCATAATATCTCGTAAACCACTAAACCGATGGACTTAAAAATTCTCGTGGTTATTGTATACATAATTATCTATCGCGTGTCATAGAATTTTTTTTTCAATTCTTAGTTTTTTTTTTGTAAAAAAGAAACAAATTTTTTTTTGAAAATCGCTACGTTGAGTTCAAGCGCCCGCCATTTTGTAAAAAATCGATATTTATAAAATCGGCTATGACACTCCAAAGATAATAGTATCTATTTTCATTTCCTGTTTCATTTTTTGTTTTAGATGATTTTTGACAAATCGCCGCTGGGTACCGTTTTGTCATAGAACATTTTTTTACGGCACTCCGTAGACGACTCCAGTACTCGGTAAATTTGCAACATTTTTAAATAAAAAAAATGTTAAACAGTCTTGAAAGTGTATATTTTTAACTACAAAAAACCACGACCCGATAATTCCAATGGTTCCCCTGAAAAAAATTCCAAAACATTACCTTTTTTTTCGTTTCTAGGTATATATTCCCCCTTAACATATAACACATATAATTTCGATATAACTTAATTATAAGTAAAATATAACATTTTACCTACTCATTCTACCTACACATGCATCTTTATAAATATATTATTCCTACATCCATTTCTCTAAATTTTTTCCTATACATCTATTCTTATATTCTAGGGGAAATCTGAAGAAGAGATTAAAGAGGGAATGACAGATTCGTTTTCGGAGTGACTGATAAATGAGAGGGGGGAGTTGAGGGAAATGATTGATCTAGTTTAGACGGATTTACTCTGTCAAGAGAAGAAGAAAATGAATTGGTAACTCGCAGATTACTTAAAGTGTTTAAACATTCGCGGTATTTGAGATCTAAAAGCTCGCGTGCTTTACGTGCTTGCTTGTTTCGTCGATTCCGGCTGTGCTTGGCGGCCGATCGGGACTTTCGCTTTTTATATAAGAAATCGGCTGGAATTCTCGGGTCCACTATATATATAAAATTGATTTCGTTATTGATTGATTTAAACAGTTCGGAGTCAATTTTCTCTCGATCTCTTATGGGCGTGTATAAATAGATTTGAGAATGATTACGATAACTAGCTTTGGCCCCTTGAAATGTTAGTAGTTTTCGGAGGCATTTTTGGCGAGGAATATAAAATAAATAGTAAAAAAATTTTCCGAGGTTTCTCACCCGAACCCGAGATCTATCATTGTATAACGGTTCTGTTTTCAATTTTCTACGCGAACCAAGATTCACCCTGTCTGCGGGAGAGGAGCGGTAGTTTATATGTGTACTGTCTATACATACAATCAAAGTATTAAATATTTAAAAACTCATATTATTTATTTTTAACTTCAACACCGTATATCTTAAAAACTAGAACAGTTAGCCTTATAAAATCTATATAATTTTTTATTTAGCGTAAAAAATACTACCTGAAAATATTAAATCAAGAGGCCAAAGTTATCATAATTGTGCCAAAGATTTGAGTTATTTGAGTTAATTGAGAATACTACGTATCTAATCGTTAATTTACTAACAATTAAGTAACACTACCCAAGTGTCACTCGCCGATTTTTTTGAAACTGTGCACACATGTAGAACATCGAAAAATATTTGTGTCGTGTTTTTTTATTTGTGCTTATAAAGCGTTTTAAGAATAGACACTATACTCGAAATATTGATATTCTCTGCAACCTTATGTATAACAACCCTTTAGGCCATGTACATTATCTTGAATGGTTTTTGCACCAGAATACTATCTCTAGAAGTTTTCAGGGTCGTTAATTAGCAATTCTTTTATTGGTCACGTGATGCCATCGGAATCATGATACGTATTTCGTGAACAAAGTTTAAATTCCCGTTCTTTGCCGAACCCAGAAATAATCAACGTGGAGGTGACGAGCAAAACTATTCTTTTTTTTATTTTACAATTATTTATTTTACAATTTTTTAATTTTTTTTAGAATTCTTTTTCAAAGTAATCCCATGTATAATAACACATGTCTTAACTCTAGCTCGCCACACTCCGATCCTGTGGATCGCTGAACGATTTTCGGTTTTCTAGTTGTCACATAATAACATAATTTTCTAGTTTCCTTATAATAAGTTCATCTTAAATCCAAATCATTTTCTTGACATAATATTATCATAAGCATCTTATTCAAAGTCTGTATTTTCAATTTCTACAGTACAAGTTTAAAAATATTAATTAGAATGAAAATGACAACGCGACAAAGTCGAGCAGTCTCACGAACCGGAGTGTAGCAAATTAATGACTCGAAAATAACTGATCCAATGGTATCACGTGACTAATAAAAAAATTCCTAATCAACGACCCTGAAAACTCCTTATAGAGATAGTGTTCTGGTGCAAAAACCATTCAAGATAACGTACATGGCCTAAAGGGTTGTTATACATAAGGTTGAAAAGTCAATATCTCAAACATAGTTTCTACTCTTAAAACGCTTTATAAGCACAAATAAATAAACACGACACAAATATTTTTCGAAGTTCTACATGTGTGCACATGTTTCAACAAAATCGGCGAGTGACACTTGGATAGTGTTACTTGTAAGTTAACCCGTGATAGCAGTAAGGAAAAAAGTTGGAAATCGTAGAGAATAGAAATAAAGAAAGAAGATGATATAAGTGGCGAATAATGTCCAGATATTCGAGAGTTCGATGTCCTACTTTAATAAAGAAAAAAAAATAGGACAAATTGATACGAATTACTACTTGTTGAAATCTTTGAAAGTTCCTTTGATTTGCTCTGCATCGCTCTGAAGCTTTGTAGCTTCGCAATAATTTTCGAAAACTTGGCACTTGGCGGTTTTTGGCTCCAGAATGGTTAAACTTTCCTTCGTGCAGTTCCCAGGTACAAGCCTTCTATCTGCAATTATTGATTAACATGTAAAAATGCAAACTATACACTTGAATAACTGATATTGGATCAACAATTAATTCCAGAATAGCGATATGGGAAAAACTTGCAAAAACCTATTTAACCCTTTATTACATAAATTTCTCTGTTAAACATATTTAGCTAAATTTTAGTATATAAAGGTTTTTGGGGTTGCTAATTGCAAATCTGAAATCGTTTAATAAATTAGAATTGTGCACCTAATATATGGCAGCAAAATTGAACAAAAATAACTATTGTTTATTATTTAAATATAAAATTTTTGTATAAAAGTTTTTTAGACTTCTTATATTTTAAATCTTCAGTCAAAATTTCAAAATACAAAATAGCAGATCCAATATAGAAGACATTTTTGCTGCTTTTTAACGAAAAGGTCTAATATATATAAATTTAAAAAATATATATAATATATGTACCACAAATATAAGTTAAATAAAAATAATTTTTTAAAATTCTTACAAGAAAATCTTGCAAAGTATGAAATTCCGCTAATAATAAAATTTTATTTTAAAAATGATAAATACATTTAGTTTTATCAGCGGTAAAGCAAAAAAAAAAACGGAAAAATAATTACATATTTTTCATAATTACGTATTACATGTTGTTTATGTACACGTATGTACAATTAAGTCTTACAATTAGAAACATAACGATGTCAAATATGTTACACAAATCAATTGTGAAATAAGTAAAAACATAGAAAAACTACAAAGAAATAGGTGTCCTTAAATAAGGACACTATGCACAACAAATGCTTAAAACTTTGACGTATGTTTTCGGTGTTGAATGTTACGTTGATCTACAAATTGATGCCGAATTTGAAATAAAGTTTAGCGGTTTGTTATAAGTGGGATAGGTCTTAGGAAAAACAAAAGAAGTTAGACGTTTTTGCATGCAAATTTTTTTCATTGTTGAATTTATGTAGAGTATTAGTAAGTCCTATAGAAAGAGCATATGTCCGTTCTTTTTGTGTATATACTTAATATATGACAAGTATTTCATATAATTCACTAGGTGATCATTAAGCTACAACTACATTTATCGTAATGTTCACCGTAAGCGATCGTAACGCTCGTCGTAATAGCTATCGTAAGCTCGTCGACCGTCGTATGAGTTGATTCAGCTTGAACTCTTAAGTGCGGGTCTACAACTTTGCTTTAAAAAGTATTTAATCTCTAAGCCGTAAAAAATTGACCAATCACAGTGGAATATAAGGAAAATACTCGACTGTGTTTGATAAATTTCTTACGGCTTAGAGCTTAAATACCCTCTAAAGTAAGGTTGTAGACCAGCACTAACGATTACGACGCTTGTCGCTGGCGTTACAACATAACCTAACCTATCATACTTTCTCGACGTGCGAAGAAAAAATATGTTTATAGATATATTGGTATAAATATGCGGTTTACGACGGCTTCATTGCTTACGACCACGATCAAAGCGTTACGATCATAGATGTAGTTGTAACTTTAGAGCAGTTGCAACATTTAGCTGGCGAATTCGAGCTTTTTTATTCCAACGTTAAATGATTTAAAAAGCATTTCACACTACAAAGTTTTTTTATAGCAGTTGACCGATGTGTATCCAAACACTTGAAAAAGATAACATTGCAAAATATTCTTTCTATTAATAAATTTGTCTCACTAGACTTTAGAGTTAAAAAAATAATATCTATAATTTTCCGTAATTGAGACCAAAAAAAATTAGCGCTTAAATTGATTTTATACATGACGTATGAGTTTGTTCAGCGTTAATTTGAATGTATATAAATTCGTTGCATCGGTGTCTTTATTGCTATTACCTGGTTTAGAAGTCCATCTCACGTTATTTTTATGTTCTTTCTGTTGAGATATATGGATTTCACTGGAATAAGCGTACGCCACGTGATAAAGTAAACGAGAAAAATGAACACTTTATTGAGTCACGTTTTACACAAAAATAAAAAATATAGTTCTAGTAGTGTTCGTATAAATTTAGTGAATAGTTTACTCCAAAACAGTTTAAAGAATAAACGTCGATTGCGCCGATTGTAGCCGATAATTTTACTTCGCGCCGAACCGTTACACGTGTTCGTTTTTCGACTTCGTGCAGGCAAATAAAGAGATTCGAACGAAGATGAAGTATCGTTCTTATGTCAGTATTGATCGATCGATACTGCAGAGTGCGCAACTTGCCGGTTACATTTAGGCCGGTATTCATGCATGGCTGCGTTCAGATTCTTCACCCAAGTGCTAAGAATCCTATAGTACGTTTATATATGTTATATGCACTATAGATTTTCAGCACCTAGGGGGGGAATCGGAACGCACTCCATAATCAAATCTTATTTCACGACCGACGCTAGCATCCCGCCACACTCTTCGTGGAATTTATTAACTTATACAACGAGCAATAAATTCAGGATTAAATATTTTGAGAGCAATAAATAATATCAATGTAACACCAAAATTAATTCAGCAAATAATTTTATAAACATACTTTACTCTTTTCGTAACGCTAGAACCGCCAATTTTGGCGGAATTTATTAAATTAAGCAACGAGCAATAAATTCCGAATTAAATATTTTGAAAGCAATAAATAAAATCAATGTAACACCAAAATTAATTCAGCAAATAATTTTATAAACATACTTTACTTTTGTGACGCTAGCACGTGACACCATACTCTTGGTGGAATTTGTTAATTTTAACAAGTAATAAATTAAAAAGTAACGTAAAAATCCTATAGTATGTTATATGCACTGTAGATTTTCAGCACCTAGGTGGGGAATCGGAATGCACTCCATAGTCAGATCTTATTTCACGACCGACGCTAGCATCCCGCCACACTCTTGGTGAAATTTATTCACTTATACAACGAGCAATAAATTCAGGATTAAATATTTTGAGAACAATAAATAATAGAATCAATGTAACACCAAAATTAATTCAGCAAATAATATTTTAAACATACTTTACTCTTGTGACGCTAGCACGTGACGCTATACTCTTGGTGGATTTTGTTAATTTTAACGACAAGCAATAAATTGAAAAGTAACGTATTTTACGAGTATTTGGTTGGAAAAACAGTTTAATGTTAAACTTATATGTTTAACTTTCTATTTTTGGTCGTTTTGCTGTTAGCGTCTTCGTCGTTGTCGTTTAATTCTGCGGCACCCGAGAGACATATTAGAATCGATTAAATGTAAAAAAAATTTACCTTGTGTAGTAAAATTTCTCCCTCGTGGAATTTTATAACCAGTATAACCTTTGCAGGGCAACCGTCATATGCCAATCTCTTAAGTGAGAAATCTCGAAGATTTTTCCTCCGAGCTAGAAAGATGTCCAGAGATGAATAATCGATGGAGGATTTCACCTTGCCGTGCAAGCGATCTTTGTCTTCAATAAGTCACCAAGTCAAGTACAAAATCCAAGATGGAAAATATACTTGTTATAAACCGGCACTGCGAACTCTCCACATGCGAGCCCGAGGATGTCTCACCACAGAATGAGAGAGTGGAGATGGGTTTCGTTATGGATGTGGTTTCCGCTCTTGGCGAGCTAAGGTTTTCGATTGGTAGGATTTTTTCACGTGACACAAGTTTGGTCCTGCGTCTACGGCTGCCCATTGGTGAATTCAATGTTGGGTCCTGACCATTCCGGTTTTTGTGGGGTGAGCTACCGCTCCTTCCAGTGCCTCATTGTGTTCTCCCCTATTCAGAACTTTCTCTTTTATTGTTAGGAGTTGCCAACAGACCCGGTTCTCTGGGTTATTTCGGAATTTTTCTGAAAACAGAGTAAAAAATTTTTTGTTAAAAATGAATCTTGTTAAAGTTTTTGTGTCAAAAAATCTAACATGCTTATGTGTTATAGTTTAACTAATTTTGATTATGTTATCTTGTTTTTTTGTGTTAAATTTATTTAAGTAAATCAAATGTAAAAATAACACATTTTATATTTAATCGTAAGGTTAACATAATGTAGTTTTATTAAAAAAATATCCTTTTCATTTATATTTAACATTATACAGATGTCTATTATATATGAAATTTTCATTCACATATCATCAAACTTTTCTTTATTTTGTGTTAAATTATGGAAATATGGACATATATATAATATATGTGTCATATAATTTGACATATTCACATTATATTAAATTAACACAAAAATTTGAGTGGACTATTTGGGACATGTGATTTATGTTATATTTAACACACATTTTTTTTACCGCGCAAAAATAAAAATGTATTTTCTTTGTCAAGACTACGTGTCGAAAGCCTTGTGTCC